GCCTGACGAGCGGCGGCAGGAAGGCGCTGCGAGGCGCCCGCTGCGCCTGCCCGCGCGCAGAGCGCTCTGCGCGCGCCACCTCGCTTGGGCCTGAGGAGCGGCTTCCCCTGCCCGTGCCGCCCCGCGCCGCGCGCGGCATTTTGCCCCAGCGCGGGCACCTCGACAGGCGCCGCTCCGGTCCTGACGCGACGAGCGGCGATGGCGGCACCAGGACCGGCGGCCCGCGGCCGCTCCCGCCTCTCACGAGGCGGGCCGCGCGGTGCACGCCGGGACACAGAGTCCGGCGCGCGGCGCCGCCAACCGCCGCCCCGCGGGCGCCATCTTCCCGGGCCGCGCAGGAAAGGGCGCTGGTCCCACGCTGCCGCATAACCCGCAATTCAGTGAATTAATGAAGTAATTAACCAGAGAGGTTTCTTTATAGGCTACTATGGTGGAAAGGGGTTGCACCCTTGTTTGCCTTTTCCCTAATCACAATGTTTTTTTCCAACCACTATGGTTGGAAAAGACCTTCAAAATCATCGAGTCCAACCATAAATCCATCCCCACCTTGCTTGCTAAGCCATGTCCCTGAGTGCCTCATCCACATGCTCCTTGCACACTGCCAAGGACCACCACCTCTTAAAGAGCTTTACTATTCCGTCCACTTAGAAATTTTTCTAATGTCTAACCTGAATCTCCCCTGGTGCAACTTGAGGTCGTTCCCTCTCATCCTATTGTCATCTCGTCCTATTGTCCTGCTATTTTAGAGAAGCCTCACTACAGCCTCCTTTCAGGCAGCTGTAGAGAGCAATAAGGTCTCCCCCGAGCCTGCTGCTCACCACACTAAGTAACCCCGGCCCCCTCAGCCACCCCTCGTGAGGTCTGAGCTCCAGCCCCTGCACCAGCTTCCTTGCCCTCCTTTGGACACGCTCCAGCCCCTCAATGTCCTTCTTGCAGTGAGGGGCCCAAAACTGAGCACAAATGGGCTCATGGAGTGAAGCTTGATTCACACAGTACGTGGTCCTGCAAACTTGAGAGGTCCCAACAAACCACCACACTGGCAGCTCTCTCCAAGGCCCCTTGGGCCTGCTCATTTTTTATATACTTCATGTTGGGCTGAGCTTTGTGCACACATACTATCTGCCTTGTTAGGCAAGAGTATCAGAGTATAACTGATTACACACAGAGGTTTTTTTTTTTTTTTCCTGAAGGGTTATTAGCTACAATTACAGTAAAAGGACTCATTACTCTATTGCTACTCTGCTTTTAGAAACTGCAACACCCAGCAGTTTCTTTGTTCATCATGACGTTATATTTTGTCAGTCTGTATACTATGAGCTCAAAATATCTCTAGCTGTCACCTCAATTTTCCAGAACAAGAGGACAAGGTCATATTTACCTGTTATATAAGAATTCCTCCC